AGTCAGCTAACAAAAGCAAAGAGTTTAATACTACTTTATTTGGCACATCATCTGTTTAGAGAAACCAAAATTCCAGTTGAGTAGCAACCAACATTTGGCTACAAACTGGATTTTCACCTTAAGAATAGTTTACAGGTGAATTTTAAACAAGTAGCATACTGAGATTCATTCATATATACTTTATTTTTATTTCTTTTCATTTGTGAAATTTGTAATTGCTCTTACTGTTTCAAGCATAATAATACATTGGAAATATTTGTTGACTTTACTCTGTCTGCAGCAGGAAATAGACTTCTGAGTTCACATAATGGCCTTTCTTCTTTTGGTCAAGATTATAAGGTTTTTGAATGCAAATTACTGTATGCTTTGGGGTGAATAAAGTGAAAAACCAGGCAAATAGTGAACACATTTCACATATAACCGGACAGCTCAGTGCACTAAGCTCCCGCTATACGCAGAGTCCGGAGAGGGTTGGACCACAAAAGTCTATTGTACGCAGTCTTACCCTGCATCTCTGCAAGAAGTTGTTTTCACGGCTCAAACCTATATAATAACTTCGTAAAATCTCTTTGTTTCTCTGAGATGAATACCGTAAAGCAAATTCATTTTTGAAGTTACAAACAATAGAGTAGCAGACTGTTATTACATATGCATTAGCAATTATTTAACCACTAACACTATTGATTACCAAATGTGAAAATAATGTTGATTCCGTTACATTTTTAAATTTATGATAATATTGCAGGGTTGTGTATATTAAACACTAACAATTTAGAGCATACTACCGAATGGGACTTTTAAGTGGGTATGGGACGAAAGTCACAAAAACTGCTAAACCATACACATTCACTAGAAAACAAACGATGTCCGTTATCAAATTAAACCAAATCATGATCCTCGAAACGAGTATCTAGTTTGTAATAATATCATAAATTGGCAAATTCTATTAATTCTCAGCAATCCAAAATGGAAAATTACAACTGAAGAGAGGTTTGATAACTGCAAACAGCATTCAAATACCAAACTATAACCGGAAATGAAATTCAAACACGAATTAATCCAGCTCCATTCAATCGATTGCATCTCACGACCCAGTTCATGGGGGTTGAGGTATTTTTTTCAGACTGATATAGGACAGCAATTAAATATCAAAGTTTGATATAGGTATCTGCTGCAAACCCAAATAACACCAAAGTATATTGTATTGATTGTTTAACCCAAAAAATAGTTTTCAAGGTCAGCAACAATTTTATATGACGGGCCATAAGCAACCGATTTAATCCGAAAATAAAATTTCGTTAATACAACGTGATAGAGAAGTGGGAAATAAATTCAATGACAGGTAATATAATGAAATTAAAGCAGAGAAGAAAGAATCCTTATTGAATGATCCTTGATAGGATAATGAGCCGAACAGAGCTTGAAGGGCCGAATTATGGCTAACTTGAGAGCAATATGCTTTAAATTACAATTTATAGAATTGTAGAGAAGAAAATTAGATTCCCCTAATGGTGATAAAAATATGTCTATTTGTAGGGCTAAATCTAAGTAACTAGTCTCCCTGAATTATGGGTCCATTATGAGCATTTACTCAATCCATCTATTACTTTTGGAAGACTTGTAGCAGCTGTGTAAATGCTGGAATTCCATAACTGATGAGTTAATTCCATAACTGATGAGTTAATTCCGTAATTAATGAGTCAATCTCGTGCATGTTGAGTCAATCTCGTAATTGATTGCCTTGTTCTGACTGTTACAATCATTTATTGCATTTATTAATAACTGATTTGTAATTGATGGTGTAATGATGGTAAATCTCATATAATCCGGGATTAATTTATTCCTTCCTCATTTGTAATTATGAGATATTTTCCCGCGCCTGATCTGGGCTATTTCATGATGATCAGTTCTGGGCTAACAAGCACGGTACGAGTATGTTCGGTCCCGTGGGTGTTTCACATATCATCTTTACATGTCATTCTTCACTTTTCTTCAAACTTTACTAACACGTGTCGCCATTTAATAGACTCACGTGACGAGTCTAATGTTTACTAATACATTAATAAATTGGCAATAATAGGAACAACTCAGCTAAAGGAAATTACAAAGAACTCAAACACCAAAAGAATGGGGATGAGAAGACACAGACAGAAGGAAGATGAGAGGCACAGAACTTTCACATAATACAAGCCTTCTGTAATTCGTATTCTACTAGGTATTTATAGGGAATGCTAAATCCTATTTCCTTGCTTCCCACTTCACACGTTCCAGCATTCTGCTGCCAAACAAAGTATGTTAATTTTGTTGGATGCTTCTTCACTCTTGTGCTGCGCCTCACATTTTCTGTTACTTGAGGAGTGCTGATCTGGCTACTAACTTGGTGAGGTGCATGTGCATTTTCAGCTATTTCGGCATTCATAACAGTATCAAATGCCAGACTGAATATAGAGACCTGTGAGAGAGAGAGAGAGGTAGTGAAGGAAGTATAAGAGTGGATTAGTAAGTTTGATAAGGGATTAGAGTAGGGAAATTTGTATAGATTAGCAGTTGGATAAAGAAGAGAGTGTTGGATTGTGAAGAGGGAACGATAAAGGGGAAACCCAAAAAGAAAGAAAACAAAAAAGAGGGAAAGGTTCCACCGAGATTTGAACTCGGGCAGTATTAGTTGTTTAAATTGCAACTAAAATAATCATAATAATAATAATGTAACTGTACCTCGTATAGAGTATATACAAGCTGCTTTAATCATATAATATAACAAATAAACTTGACAGTAAAACCCAGGCGCCTATTTGTGTAAAATCTCTTTACAAAATGGCCTATATTTGCTCTTATTTAGAAATGATTTGGTAAAGACGAAGGGCACCACTACTTCTGCAGAACATCAGGTTAATTTTCTCTTTACTACCCCTCAACTCATTCATCTGTAATTTTCTAAATTAGCAAAGTCATTTTCAAAATTTCATCTTTCATTTTTTTTAGTATGAACAGCGTAATGTTCTCGAACTCTTTGTGGATATGCCTCAGTGAAAGTTGATAACTTTATGTCAAAAACTTATTTTGTTCCTTATGAGTTTGTCTGATTACAGTTAAAGGATTTGTTGGAGCAGTTGAATAGTGATGTTTCTTCGCCGAGTTGTATCAACAACAAGAAGGTTATTTTGCAGTATTGGTAGCCATGCTATTGATATATCCAAAGCAATTTCCGAGCTTAGTCAGGATAGGAGTAAGTTCAGCTTACATATTATCCTTCTCATACTCCACTTGTGAGATTCTACTGGGTTATTGTTGTTGTTGTAATTTTCGAGCTCAATCAGGTATATATGCTATAAACAGTTCTATTTCAATCTTTGGAGGCTGGATATTATTCTGATAAACACATTTTTAAATTAAATTAGTTGATCAACATTTGGAGTAGTTCAGTAGTTTTGGTACAGTATGTTAACTTGGTTGGATAAAATTTTGTGCGTCCTTGTCAATTTTCCAGGACGCGAATTTTGTCAAATTTGAGTATGTTGTGGACATGTTCATGGTTGAACCTTCTTCGGAATGGAACAATCATGTAGACAATGTCATTAAAAAAACTAAGCTCTTGAAGGAAATTCTTGAATTTGCACATATCGATCTTCGTGGAAAATTAGGATGTCCCAAGTAATTACCAAATATCAAACCTATCGCGCCAATAATTGATGAAATAGTTGTAGGCTTTGAGGACGAGATAGAAATATTAATGGTCTGGGTAATTGGTGGAGGGGTCGAGCTGAAAATCATTCCTATCATTGGCATACCAGTATGGGTATTTTGGTCTCCTTATATGGTCTTGGGCAATACTCACCTTATAAGCTAGTTTTTGGGGTTGAATTAGGCTCAAAGTCCATTCTTATCATGGTATCGAGCCAGGCTGGAACTCCAGTATAATATACTGGCGTATTTTTCGGGTTTTGAACAATGTTTTCGCTCAGATTTATCTTTACATAAAAAGTGGCTAAATTTCGATTACTTTTGAAACTGGGCTATTTTTGAACCACCTGTTGTAAATCTGACTATTTTTAAATTTTTCCCCTCCAGTTGCAGTCCTGGGGTGTTGAGTTGTATCCCACATCAACGGGTTATGGATATCTTGGTCTTCTTATATGATCTTGAACAATCCTCACCTCGTAAGAATTTATAATGATAAAAGAACTTATCACTTTGATATCCAAATATGGTGTTCTATTTCTTCTAGACATACGGCGAGTGAGTTGTGCAAGATATTTTAATTTCTATCATTGATTTGAGCGATGACGTTTGCCGGTCAGAGTAAGGGTGGGCATCGGTCGGTTCGGTTCGGTTTTGAACATTATCGGTTTTGCCTATCGGTTATCGATTTACAAATATCATAACCCGATAACCAAACAGATAAGATATTGGTTATCGGCTATCGGTTAATCGGTTATATATCGTTATCGGTTCGGTTATCGGTTTACCCGATAAGATAAAACAACTAAAAAAATTTACAATATATAAAACAAAGAAATCAAACTGCCAGAACATGTAAACTGTCAACTTTTGTTGTTTCTTAACAAAAGCACGCTCCCACTTCTGTGTAGTATCTACTGATGTCTGGCAGAGAACTGGTGGTGAGTCTTGCGTCTTGACTCTTGGGGGCTGTGACGGAAACAAGAATGAGAACTGAGAGACAAACGACTGAAGACTGAAGAGTGAAGAGGGAATTAGGAAAATAAATAACCCTAGTATATACTTAAGGGTAAATTAGTAAATTACATCATTCTTATTGGGTTATCGGTTTTTACCCAATAACAAAAATGCAAACCGAGCCCGAACCGATAACCCAATAAAAAAAAATTTTAACCTGTTACCGAACCGTTAACCCAATAATCCAATACCGATAACCCAATAAAGAATTAATGGTTCGGGTTATCGGTTTTACCCGATATATGCCCACCCCTAGGTCAGAGGAGCTAAACTCTCGTTAGCTTGTATACGGACAGCTATTTAGAAGAAGATACCTCATCGTTTTAGAGCTTGTATACAGATAGTTGAGTAGCAAGCAACACTTTGACCACAAAATGGATTTTCACCTTATGAATAATTTACAGGTGAATTTTAAACAAGTAGCATACTGAGATTCATTCTTATATACTTTATTTTTGTTTCTTTTCATTTGTGAAATTTGTAATTGCTCTTATTGTTTTAAGCATAATAATACATTGGAAATATTTGTTGATTTACTCTGTCTGAGTCTACATAATGGCCTTTCTTCTTTTGGTCAAGATTATGTGGTCTGTGAATGCAAATTACTGTATACTTTGGGATGAATAAAGTGAAAAAGTAGGCAAATATTGAACACACTTTACATATAATAACTTTGTAAAATCTCTTTGTTTGTGAGAAAATTTTAATTTGTGTCTCATGCAATTAACATTAGTTGTATGAGACAACTTTTTTGTCTCACAGTTTTGTGGACCCAGATTTCTGTGGACCCAAAAATGTAAAATTGGGGTCCACAAATTTATGAGACAAAAAGAGCCTCGTACAACTAGTGTAAGTTGTATGAAACACAAAATAAAACTTTTCTTGTTTCTCTGAGATGAATACTGTAAAGCAAATTTTCTTTTGAAGTTACAAACAATAGAGTACCAGACTGTTAATAATTACACATGCATTAACGACTATTTAACCCCTAAAACCATTGATTACCAAATGCCATTATATTTATAAAATTTATGATATATTGCAGAGCTGCTGTATGTATTAAGCAAACAATTTAAAACATAATCCAGAATGGGACTTTTAAGTGGGAATGGGACGAACCTACGAAGTCCCAAAAACTGTTAAAACCAGACACATGCACTAAAAACAAACAATATAAGCTTATCATATGGTCCGTTATAAAATTAGACAAAATCTTGATCCTCGAAACGGAGTATACAGTTTGTAATAATATCATATGGTTCTGTTTGATACTATGCTATCCGATAATCAAACAAATTTCTATTTAACAATGATTTTTAAACATTTTCTAGTGGAATTTTATTGGGTATGTTGTTGTTGTGTATTCTAACTAATGAATTCATTTTATGAGAAATCAATATCCAATTTTATACTGGACAATTCTCATATTTTAAACTTCACTGTTCTTTGAATGAAGGGAATATTGTAAGAGTTCTTTATTTCAATAAATAATCAAGATTGCCTTTGAAGTGATATTGTTGTAAAAATTGCACAGGGCGCCTTATTTGGTCGTCCCCATTTAACATATACCAATTTTTTTTAAAACTTTTAACTTGTACCCACTTTTTAAATAACTTTAGCCCCCTTCTACTCCTCGTTCTCCTTCTTTCCCATTTCCCACTCCGAAGGATTATCCTTCAAAAAATTTCAGCCAATGTTTATCAACAAGTAAATATGCGAATATCCAACTAAAGAAGCCAAATTAGAAATTCAAACATTTCTTATTGTTAACTCATGCAACTGCCGTTTGACGTGATCTTTCCTTTTGCTCTCTTTTTAATTTGTCTTTTTTTCTTTTAGATAAATAAGAGCAGCTACTACTTTTCTTTCCAATTCAATCTGGAGAGATGGCGCCGTCATATATATGAGATCTTGTGATTGCTCTCGCATACACTGTGAGGGATTGTAAACTAGTGTGTATTCATATCCTCAAATTGAACTAGCGAGAACTTCAGCTCTAGAGCTGAAGTTTGCGAGTTACAAAACATGAAGTTCGCCAGTTACAACCAAAAACTTCAGCTCTAGAGCTGAAGTTCGATAGTTACAAATAGCTGAAGTTCGACAGTTCATCTCTAGAGCTAAAGTTCGCCAGTTATAAAACAAAAACTTCAGCTCTAGAGCTTAACTTCAGGCCCGGCTACTAGAATGCCAAAGTTTTACGTGATTGCCTTTGCTACTTCAGCCCCGTATGCTGAAGTTATGCGAAAAAGCGGGTACACTTACAATTTTTTTTGCAAAGCGGGCATAAGTTAAAAGCGTGATACAAAAAACGGGTATAGATGCAAGTGCCCCGATATTGTTAGCCTGTTATGAAGAATTAACTTAAATAGTCGCCCATTCAGCTTCTTAAACTAAAAATAGCAGGCAAATGTATATATATGTATAATCCATTTATAGTATATATATGTATAATCGTATATAATTAGTGCATAATTTAGAAATATTGGCTAGGAAAAAAACAGTGAATCTGATTGGCTATTTCTATAATGATCCTGGTTATACATTCCTTAATGGGCTAATGGGCCGTAAATGTACGTAACTGGATAGCCCAATAGTGATAATCCCGCCAAGCAGCCCAAAAATGCAGTTTCGGGCCAAAATCAGCTCGCCCCACATGTTACACGACTTCCGAAACTGAACAGAGATCAGCTGCTGCTGACTAAAAAACTCCATTAAAAGGTTTCCTTTCTTCACCGTCCCACGAACTATTCCCTTCACTCTGCTCCTCTCCTCGGTAAGAATTCTTCCACTTTATGTTTCGAAAACCCTAATTCATTCTCAATTTGCTTAAATTAGGTTTGTTAACATATTTTTATGCCTAAATATATACTCCCTCCGTCCCAATTAATTTGACTAGGCACCGGAGTTTAAGAAAGAAAAGAATTTTGAAACTTGTGGTTCAAGACAAGTATTAGATACTTGTGTGGCTATAAATTAACTCATTAAGGTAGAAGGGGAATTTTAAGTTAAATTGTATTAAATATAAATGTTACATTGTTTTTGGGACAGACTAAAAAGGAATGAGTGCCACATAAATTGGGATATAGGGAGTAGTAATTGAGTTTCAATGGTACTAAATTAACTACACTGATCATACAGGTTGAGGTAAAATATTGACTGTATATTGTCCGTTGAGTTGTCTGAATAGAGTTTTGTCAGTGGAATTTGGACTAGTATTTATTATTATTTCTGTTTCTGCTTTTACTAAGTTATAGTGTGTTGTACAGTGGTGGAGTTACTTGCACTGTCAAGTAAAGGCGTTGGAGTTGGACAAATAAATGGGGGACGAAAAGGACGCTTTNTATCCCATGTCCTTTTCGGGTTAGAAAGTTGATCATTTTATATGTTACTGAATGTTTTTTGCTGTTTCACTGTGTAATTTAGGACTCATGTGCCCGCTTCTGCACTTGAGGAGTTTAACCTAGCGGTAGACTTAGTTGTCTCATCTAATTGATGATAGTTCAGTCAAATTTTGGCTAATGGGGGTGCTAAAATTGTCCTCCTTTTTAAGTTTTGTATCATTCCTTTGTTGTCATGATATAGACACATTTTAGTGCACCGTGGGCCTTCACTGACTTGCATGATTTTTCATCTTAAATTTTTTTATCAGGCTGAAGTGCTGAACTGCTTCTCCTTCTGATCTTTCAACTATGTTACTGGCAACCGAATGGTAGTGATTTACATGTTGTATTCACTCCACTTGGTGGCTTTTTTTTTTTTTTGGCAACCTAGTGGTAGCTATTTACATGTTGTATTCACTCAAGTTGGTACTATGTTCTTTGCCTAGTCGTGATATCTTCTTTGCATCGCATTGTCTACAATTGTATACATTGGATGCAACTGTTATTTCTCTCTTTTCAACAGTTATTTCCATCTCGTTTTCCTATTAGCTTCACTTTCATCTGATCGTCGAAGTAAGAGAAAATACTTCTTGTAGCTCTTAAGCATTCTCTATTATCTTTTTCTTCAATTCTTCTCATGACACTATTACCTGGCGCTGCAGATATAATTTTGGACTCATGAGATTAATTTTTCCTATAGGCTCCAAATAATAATGGGCCTTGTGCTGTGTATGAGGAGAGTATCACTCCATCATCTACAATCATATGCGAACGAGCATAATGGAAGAATTTATTTTATTGTTCAGCTAACATAACTGGAAGAATCCCTCGGTATATTCTTTGGACACATTTTGGTCAAAGAAATTCTGTGTATTTTTAACAAAAATATTCAGGTATTAAAATATTAAATAGTAACTAATATATGCTGGCAATGGTTTATTTGAGGTGATTATCGAAGAGGTGACAAATAAAAATGATGTGATTGAATAAACTTTTACCACAGGAGAACTTTAGGTTAAGATGCATGAGAAAGGAAGTGAATATTGAATCAGATTTATATGTATAGGTAAAAAATTGAAAGGTGAAGAACTGGGAAGAAATATGTTTCATTGCGGCGTTTGATGAGAGAGCAAACCGAGGTGATACTATGGAAAAGCTGTACGTGAATAAATTGAAGAGGATTCTTTTCTAAAGTGTTATCCAATTATGTGGCACATGGAAGCATTTCAAAGGGAAAATGTCACAGTTGCCTATTTTCTGATTTACATCTTCTTGGTGATAATGCTACTGCCATATGTTATATTGCTTCAAGACCAATTCTGGTAATTTTTTGGGGGTCGGGTGGGGGCATTCTGGTTTGTGTCAGATGCAGAACTGTACTTTGTTAACCTTAAGGTCATAGAAGCTTTTGCTATTAGTTTTGAGTATGGGATTCTTGGGGTCTGAATTTGATGCCAATGATAGGTATAATCACTTGGTGGATTTGTTAGTACTCGCTCAATTGCCGTCATGTCAACTACTTCCCCCATTTTGTGTCTTTCGGCCACTGACTGGTATTGCGGAATGCGCATAATACTGCTTTTACATTTTGCAGTTAGACTAAACTTGAAAGGTTCAGATGTTTTGGCAATCAATTAGTGAAATGCCTGTCTCCTTTTCCTCTGTCAAATTCAGCAGTCTATAGATAACCTACATTTTGTGCCTTGATTTTTTTGACATTTTTTTGTAGTTTCAGGTTTACATCAAGGACCATTTCATGCATGGTAATTTTTTTTCTTTTTATGTTTTTGCAGCAACCTGGCTCTTCCAAAGATAAAATTATTGGGAAGAATTTTCAGGAGAAGAGGATGCAGGTAATCTCTTAATGGTCAACGGGTCAATCCATATTATTCTTTCATTGATCAGATAGAGTCAGTATAGTGAAAAAGTTTTGCTATTATGAAAATGTGATCTGTGGAGCCTTTGATATTCACATGATTATTTCCTTCATTCAGACGGAGGTGGTGGCATCTCCTTCGTTTTCAGCTGCTGGTCAGCAAAAACATGCCAAATTAGACAATTTCCTTGAAGTTCCCCCAATTTCATCATATTGTGTAAGTTTCTTTAAATATTTTTTTGAATCAATATGCACAAATACTTGTTATTATCTGCTTTACCTGTTTGTTGATATTCTGAAGGGGGTGGGTAGGTGGGTGCTGTTAGCCTTGGTAAGGACTTGCTCCTATTTTTTTTACATTATGGTGCTGATGAACAAGCAATAGCTAGGAAAGTGATGCTTATTTGAGCTTATGGAAAAAAGAGGCTTAAAAGTCAATATGTATTGAGATAAGAGAAAATTGTTTTAGTCTATTGTATATGTTGAAAAGTCCTCATTCGGCAATGCCGAACCAAGGGGGCCAAGTGACTCTTAAATCAAATTGTGAGGACAAAATGCAGCTTTCCAGGAGTACGTTCAGTAAATGTCCAAAGTTTGAGGATTTGTGGCAAAGTTTACTTTTGTGTGATAAGTCTATTTTACAATACAAATGTATTTGGAGCATACTAACCTGTTTCACGTGGAGCACTTCCATTAGGGGCCAAAAAGAATGCAAGTGCGAGAATTTCTCCATTGAAATAACATTCAAGATTACTTATCCATTATAAGGAACATACAAGATTATACGTCACTTGATTTAAAAGAGAATTTCTCCATTGAAATAACATTCAAGATTACTTATCCCTTATAAGTAACATTATAAGGAACATACAAGATTATACGTCACTTGATTTAAAAAAACATACAAGATTTTGGACTTATGTGCTTAAAAAAAAGAAGATTCTGTTTGGACTTATATTTTGACTTTTCTGCCATAGTTTAGTGTATTAATTCTGTTTGCACTTCAGTTCCTAGTCATGATATCATGTCTTCCATGACATGAAAAAGACATTGGTCACATTGGTCTTATTTCATTTTTGCAAAAAGGGTGGTCTGTGACTCGCTTGTAATATGGTGAACGTCCTGTTTTCTTTTAAGTGCTACTATCTTAATGTGATCTTTGCTTCTAGCTTGGAGGAACATCTTATAAATTGATACCTTCAGCTCCCCTATATGCAGTGTTCTTGCACTCTTGAGTTTGATGGGGCTTCAAAGGGGAATCCTGGACTAGCTGGTGCCGGGGCTGTTCTACATGCTGGTGATGGAAGTATGGTATGCTCCCTATCCGTTTAGAAGATGTGGTTTGTCACCATAAATTTATAGGTTTTCGACTTGTAATTCCTTTTCTGTAGGTTTTCCGGTTGCGTGAAGGTGTGGGTGTTGCAACTAACAATGTTGCTGAATACAGAGGCCTAATCTTAGGGCTAAAATATGCTATTGAGAAAGGTTTCAAACATATTAAAGTTCAGGGCGACTCAAAACTTGTCTGCATGCAGGTCTTCTTTTCTCATTTTCTTACTTCTGCTTTTCTGTTTTGGTTTTTGCTTATTTTCCACTTCCGCTTTAGCAAATTAGTCAATTAGTTCTGCTTTCTCGCTTGTCCTGGGAAAACTTGCTTCTCAACATCCCAAGGTGAATGCTGGAGAACAAAGTGTAGGTTCACAATTAAGTAAGGAAATTGGTTTTATATATTTATTTTGCAGAATACCTGAGAGATTTTGCTGTGACTGGTTTAGGAGTATAGGATTTGAGACATATTCAGGCTACCTAGTTCAATAGGAATTTTGGTTCGGTATAAGCTTGCCGTCTTGATGGTACCTTACCCAATACCATCCTAGGATACACCTAAACCAGTTTAAAGTGAAGCTATTCTTTCCCTTGCAACCTATATGATCTTTCGCACTACCATTCTAAGCTACATCTAAACCAGTTTGAAAGTGAAGCGATTCTTCCCAACAAATATTAAAAATTGAAGCTACGTGATCTTTCAATGAGATCATATGCGCGCTCAAAGTGCTATTATATTACATTTAGTGTCATTTTTTTTGCTGGAACTACTTATGGGTCAATCTCTTGTTCTTTACAAATTTTGTCATGGAACAGACTCAGGGAATCTGGAAATGTAAGAACCAGAACATGGCTGAGCTATCCAAGATCGTCAAAGAGCTTAAAGATCAGTTTATATCATTCCAGATCAACCATATATTAAGAGTATGACCAACTTTCCCCTTTTGTTAATTCGGATCGTGCTCTATACTGAACTGGTCTCTCAGAATTTTGATGTGCCGAGGTTCTTATTATATCTTACATCTGCATGTTATTTATGTGATAAAATTGCAATGTGTGCATGTGTTCTTTTACAATCCCGGGACCATAAGAGGTGCAAGTGAAGTGTGTTCGAATGTCATGTTTACTTTATGTGATATACAATTTCTCTCTTCTTGCTGATGAGCTATATGAGCTCTCTTTTCCTGCGATGGAGAGTTCATAATTTATTTATTTATTCACTGTTCGCATAATCGTTCCTTTCTTGTAGTCATTGAAAGCTATCCTTTCATCCCCTTACTGAGGGTTTTGCACTTTTACTTGTTTAACATATCAGGAAGGCAATACTGAAGCTGATGCCCAGGCAAATTTAGCTGTGTATCTCAAGAGTAAGGGTCTTTCTCTTGGGCCCCTTGTTTTGTGTTTAAAAAAAATCTCCATTTTCCTATGAGAAATCTGATAAAACGTTTGTTTGTGCAGATGGTGAAATTCAAGTGGAATGTGACATGAAATAACTTATAATAATGTGAAGTTACCGACTACCTCAATTATTGGGATTTTGGGTAGGATGAATGACCCCTAAAGACGAGTAATGGGCTCTCTGTGGTCTCAAACTGCGTCTTGTTCCTTGTAGATATATGATCTGAATTATGTGCATGTAACCTAATTATGCATCTGGACTAGTGCAGCTTGTGTTTAGGGTGTACTCGAATAAACTATTCTCTGGTTTCAGGTGCAATGAAAATTAGTAGGTCTAATTGAGTTTTGAGAATGTGAAAGTCGTCTCTGTCTAGCTGAGAAAGCTTCTTACAAGTAATGATAAAACGTAATTGGTATTTCGATGACTCAACTCACATTTAAAGAAAAAGTGCGACACCACAATATGAAATATATAATGATGGACTAGATTTCAGAGAAGTCGGTAGACAAGAAAGGTGGGAAGAAAAACTATGACGAGATTTCTTGAGATCGAATGACGGAAAGAAGAAATATATACATAGACTGAAGATTTTGAAGGCTGTATACTCATACTTTCTAAATCACTTAGCCACTTCAGACAATAGTTTGAGTACTTAATTTTTCAGTGTGGATTTGTTTTATATATTTTCTGAGACAATTCGTGGCTTTCTTCTCTCTCTTTTTTTTTTTTTTTTTTTAAAAGAATTACTATTGGGTTCAGTGTTAATAAAATTTGAATTTTGAATTGATAACCCAATAGTAAAATAATACTAAACTGTTATCGAATCATTAATTCAATACCGATAACCCAATAATTTCTTCCAATTCGGGATATCGTTTTTACATATAGATTCTTGTATATACTAGTCCTTTACAGACAAAATGCCCATAAGGTTGAAATATCTAATTTTTAATAGGGAAAATTTCACATTAGAACAACTGGGCTCCCTACTTTTCAATTTTATAGTCCATAATTCAATTTACAACCAACTAGCCCAAAAATAATAGGCTAAGATTCAACATTCAACTCCAATAGGTTCTCAAAATTACTATTTAATTTTTAAAAAAGATTCCTCAAGCTTTTTAATTAATTTTCGAACCAGTAACTGTGACTCAAATATTAATTCAACAAACCAAATTCATTTGGGTGGTGAAAATTAAATTTTTAACAAGCTTAAATATGTGGGTTTAAATTTCAAATTTAATTTTGTGAGAAATTTGGAGTGGGTATTATTTAGACTTGTTAGAAATAGTATAAGGAGGTTGTATATAAAATTTGAAGTCATTTAATGGAGATTTGGACTGGTTTTGAACAAGAATTGCAACTGAAAATCGTGGAAGAAGTTCGTCTACAAACGCTTGTATAAAGGTGTATAAAAGTGTATAATAGTGTATAAGGTGTGTTTCTATACTCATATACACTATTATACAAGATTATACATAATTATACAAAAAACTGACTTCGTCTTCTTCCTTGCGTCTTTTCTGAAATTTAATTCAAATCGCTCAAATCTACTCCAAAACACTTCAAATTTAAATTTTGAACTCCTTTTGATATTTTCAATCAATTGGAATAACACCCAATCCAAACAACTAACAAATTAAAAAAAAAATAATTTTCAAAAGCAAAGCTTTGAATGGTCTTCAATGGTGGACTTCTACTCTTCAATTTTCTTACATTGCAAGCAGGTGATACACGAGGAGAAGTAGAAAATACACGGTCCCTTGAAGCATATGTAGAAGATGTGAGAAGAAGAGAGAGTGAAAGCAATGGTTGTGAGAATATAGATTTAACTGCATAGCTTTTAGAAGCAATGATTGGAAGAACATAAATTTTCAATTTGCTAGTGCTTTCAAAATATATACAATGTGGGCTAGACAGGGTAAAACTTAAAAAACATAGGCTATTTTTTATTATGGCGTGAAGTCACGCGTATTTTCTTGTAATTCTTTCTTTTTAATACTATTATTAAATCCCCCCCCCCCCTTACAAATGGTTGTAGTTGCCGCTACTTCGAGACATCAAGAAACTATATGGATAATAAAAGATAATGAGTTAGAAATTTGATTTTTTTTTTCCAATTTTATCTCTTTATTTTTTTTAGAATAAAGTAACGGAAAAATTGGCGACACTATGTCTTTTTTCCCCAACTATTTTTTGTAACTTAAAAAAAAAAAAAAACTTATTTTGTAACTAAAATTTACTACTAACTGGCATTATTTTGTCCCAAATATCCATATAGTCCTTCCCTTTTTGTGCTTTGGCTTCTGGATAAGAAGTAAAAGAATCAGTAGTGTGGATAAAAGAAATGGCCACCGTCTCAGCATTTTGGGTTTGCAGAGCAAAATCTCATTCTCAAATTCCCCATTCTTCATCTATTGCTCTTCCTCAATTGTTCCCAATTCAATTCATCCAATTCCAAAGGAACGGGAGCAATGGCGTCGGCTATTCTTACTCTCGGAGTTTGGTGAAAGCGAAGGCACCTTTGAGAAATACTAGGATATGGTCCGCTGATGAGGAAGAAGGTGCCACTGCTGTTGTTGATGAAGCATCTGCTGCTCCGACAACTACCGTTGATCAGACTGTTTCTGTTTCCGTCTCCCCTTCCGATGTCCTCACTATGTTCTTTCAGGTTTAACCTTCTGACCTTATTTCTAGTACTTTTCATTTTTTTTTATTTTTAGTCAGTATAATGTTGGCCTGAGCTGAATTAAATGGGGGACATTGGTCAGTGAGGATTCATATAGCAGACTCCAACTTGTTTGGGACTAACGTGTAGTTGTTTAATTTTGTCAAAATCTCCACCTATGTGAATTCACCATGTCCCGGTAAAGGAGGAGGGTTGTAGTAGGTTGATGCTCAGTGTAAGAATAGTATTTATGATGAATTCTGGTAATGATTCATTACTAATGAATTTCAGTCATTTTCATATTGGTATGACATGGTTTCGGAGAGGAATCCATATAAATGATTCATATAGGAGGAGGGTTGCAGTAGGTTGATGCTTAGTGTAAGAATTGTTAGTTTATGATGAATTCTGGTTGTAATGTCTATGAATTTTTCGGTCATGTTCATATTGGTATGAGGTGGGCCCAGAGAAGAATGCATATAAATGATTCATATAGCTCGACTCCAACTAGTTTCGGGATTGAGGTTTAATTAATTATTTGATTGATTGTCTAATACTGTCTAGAAGAATGAGAAGCATTCGATGTGTTAGTTTTGCTTCCTTTTTTTCTTTCTTTCTTTCATTCAAATTGTTAATTGTGGATTTTCTTGTGAATGATAACTCAATTTATATTATTATCACAGGCAGAAGGAACAATGAGTGAAGCAGCTGTTCCTAATGTGACTAAGGCTTTAGAGGTAATTTAGTATATAAAGTTCAGATCTTTATGTTGTACATGCCAATTTGTCCGCCCTTTCTTAAAGACTTCAGTTGTCTTTGCATTTGAAATACAATGTAGTTGAAGTTGCAGGGGATTCTGCATTTTTCTTTTTCTCTGTAATTTAATGATACTTGTAGAACACCAGAAAGAATCACAATTACATTGTAGTGGGAAATAAACAACATGAGGTCCTTAAACTTTAAGAGACAAATTAGAGAAAGCAAAATGTTCTGAGCTTTCTAGGTGTTTAAATTATTTTCTTTTGGAACTAGGCATATCTGAAATTTTATAATCTAGAATCAAAGTACAGGTATAAATACTCATTAGAAGTTGCAGTAATGAACTATTGATTTTGTGAGTGTTTGGTGAAGAGTTGTATCTGTTTCTCCATCTTTATTCCAAATTTGTAGTGAGATTGCCTGAAGGAAATTTTCCGTTAAAACAATAGATTTTAGCTTATAATAACTTAGAATTTAAGAATAGTTGTGAGTTGACCTTCATAATTTCATTGTCTGTCCATATATATATACAGGAGATAGAAGGCATTACAGATCTCAAAGTTCAAGTTGTTGAGGGCATTGCAAGCGTGGAGGTGATTTACATTTATAATGCTTCTCTTATATTTACTCGTTTATAGTAGTATATTCTGTTTGTGGGATAATACTGGGTATGTTGTTGTTGTTGAGTAGTATATTCTGTTAGAGGAAATATTGCTGTAGAAAGTTGACATCCTGAGAAACGTAATGCACCTTAGAGACATTGCATAAAATTAATAAGAAAGTGTCATTTCTTCTTCAAAAGTAACTGGAATAAAAGTGAAAAAGGCTATTAAAGTACTTGTTACATTTTGAACTATAAAATCTTCTGTAGAACGTCTAACACAAAAAAATATCCTTTGAAGCTGCTATTTCCCCTAGCATACAAACTACAGAAAACCCTATTAAAGAATTTCGTTGACAACATAGATCAAGCGTACAAAAGTGGGAAGGTAAAGTTACCATCTATTTCCATCAGAATTCGAAGCTAAGTTCCTCATTTCAGCTTACCAACTTCAGTTTACATAAGTATCCTTGCTGGCATGAGAGTTAGGATCCCACTGCAGAGAGGAGAGCCGTAAAGGATTTGTGGGTGTCTGAGATCTTCATCGTCTAATTTTTAGCCAACAACATGTTAGTTATATATAGGTGAATTATGTAATAACTCCTGTATAATCTAAACATGGAGAAAAATTACGTCTAAACTTCACTTAAAAAAGAACATAAGAAGCATTTAAATACATGTCTCTGTTTTTTATATTCAGAAGTTCAATAAGGCATTTGAAGAGCCAAGAGATGAAACATGGCATAATTAGTCATATATTCCTTGGTTCGGTGTTGATCTAAGTTGTTAATTGATGCAGTTAACAAAGCAAACGACAATACAAGCTACAGGGGTCTCTTCCAGTTTGGTTGAAACTATACAAGGTTCAGGCTTCAAGTTGCAAACATTGAATCTCAGCTTTCAGGATGAAGAAGATATTAGCTAAAGGGTGGCTACGAACACTTGTTTTGGAGTTCAGAGACGATGATGAGATGATATCTTTCAGGAACGTCTTAAGAGATTTCTATTTCCCCTACTGCGATGCAAGTAGTTCAGTAGGCCTATATCTGTAACATTTTTTGGGATTATGCATATAGAGAACTATATAATTTCCTCTTTAGCTACATTGTTATTTCAGGATCTTGCTGTTATCGCTTAAGCTTCTATCTGCAGTTTAGTTAGAATGTTGAGAAAGTACTTGTGTTCAATCTTGCACTATCAGCGTTTAAAGAAAAAATGAAAAGAAAAAACAGCATCAGTTGCAGGGCGAAACTTCTGTAGAACCTCGCTCAACTGCTACCGAAAAGAGGAGAAGTACTAATGCTATTTGCTTGAGAGTTCATAACGGGCA